AGAACTTGACATCTTCTGGAATAAGCTTACGAGTCTTCAAGATTCGCGTTCGAGGAGGACGGTTTGCAGGATCAAGACGTCTCTCAATAGCACAACGCCAACCGATCACAGCTTGTTGCTGATCTGGCACGTTTGCACTAGTGATGGCCACTTCACTCAGCATTCTCTTAGATAGGTCTTTGACAGACTCGGCAGGTCTCATTGAAGCAGGAATAGTATCAAGCCAGTTGTCGCCCCATATCTCAGCAATGGATTGCTGGTGGTTCTCTTTAGACCATTGAGCAGAGGTGCCAACGACGACCATGACTTTGACCACTTTGTGATTAGCAACACTGTTAATGAAAGCTTGTTCACTACGAAGGTTTGGGTCTGGGTGAGTGTCCCACAGGTTGTTGATCTTCACCCATCGCCAGATGTAAGCAGCTTGGACACTAGCGCTCTCCGCTCGGTCGGCTGCAGCAGCAAGCAGGTCGCTCGCGGCTTGTATAGGTGAGACATCGGGACCGGGGTTGTTCAGATAGTCCCAGATCGAGACGTCAGGCTTGTCTGGGAGTCTCTGGTTGCGCAGTTCCGATTCGACATCGGCCGGCGACATCATCTGGAGCCGAGCTTCGGTCTCTCCAGCATCGGCTCTAGCTCGAAGGGATTGGTGTTGACGTTGCACTTGAGACGCCGTAGGGGCGCTCGGTCCGGCGACCGCTTGCGTGCTAGGAAGTGCAGAGGGCCGAGGTGCAAGAGGCACCGCTGACGGCACTTGCGAAGCGTCGCGGACAAGGCGCTGTGGAGAAGCGACATCGTTCTGGAGATCCGCGGTCGCTACAGCACCGACAGAATTTGGTTCAAGTCGATAGAGAACACGTGTGCGGACATTTTTCACACCCGCCATCGTTACAGTTGCAGTGACAACTACTATTCGATTCTTTGCCAAACTTATGTAGATCCACCCTGCCCGAGCAAGACAGGAAAATCGCGCAAGAGAGAAAAGCAAGGTGTAAGATAACAAAAAGAGGGGGAAAAGAGAAAGTGGAAGAGAAAGATAGTACGCTAAGCTGAATTCTGAAGAAACGCAAGAGCGTGGCGGGGAAACGCGAAGCATATATATTAGATTTGACAAGGGTGGAGGCGTCCCAGGCTTAGCCCCCGCACCCCATTGGACAGACATGTGTCCCGCTAGACCATTCTCATGAGATATCGCAAACCATCAGCAAGTAAGATGCATAGTTATCGCATGATCAGCCCACAGGTCGCACAATGCTACAAGCAAGGTTCTGCGTGTGTATTCCGCGACAGCTCTCTGATAAGAGACACTACGAGAAGGGTAAGACGCGTCGGCGAATCTCTCGCTCCGTTCTGTTTCTCTGCTCTATCTTTTCTTGCCACTATTCATCGTTCCATACGTACACTAAGCTTCTCTTATGAACGATCCAGCAAGAGAGAAAGTATACAATTATCCATCTCGACTTGCATTTAGCCAGAAGACATGGAGCTAGCATATCGGTTGACCGAATACGCTCTAGAGCCAGCCGGCGAGGACGACACAGCTAGAGTCATGACGCGTCAAGAAGGCAGTATTGAGGAGACAGAGCAGCAAGAAATCGCAGCAGCCATGTCGAACTACGTCTATCTAGCAGAGCACGAAGTTCTCATCTGCAAGGAACACGGCTACGCAGTGCGAGGCTTAGACAGCCATCTGCGCTTGGTCCATACTTCTTACACTTCTACGTCGAAGAAGGCAAGGGCTGCACTAAGACAGCATCACAGCGGACGCAACATGCCAGACCCATCCACAGTCCGTCTACCCGAGCCAGGACAGCCGGCAATTGAGTATCTGTGTAAGCCAATCCCAGGCTACTACTGCATCCACAACCAGGACAACACCGCCGGCGAACAAGACGTACGAGGGGATGCATCGACAACAACAGACTCCCCCAGTCACTGCGGCTTCACCACCAGCGACCGTACCAACATCGGCAAACACTGTCGTAATGCACACGGCTGGAAATCTACTGACGAAGACCGTCAGTGCTGGAAAGATGTCTACATCCAGACGTTTTGCAAGAGTTCAGGCAAACAAAAGTGGTTTGTCGTCAAGACACCCGATCAGATCGATAGGGAAAGAGCAAGTGTCGGAGAATCACTCCCCGAGCCAAGCAGATCCAGTTCGACGGCATCAAAGATGACTTCCAGAAGTTAAAAGAGCAATGGCAGAAAGAGCAGGAGATACTAGCAGACAGGGTTGAGAAATGCGAGAACACCGGATGGTGGAACAAGACAAGATGGAGAGAGCATCTCAAGAACTGCAATCTCACCCATCTCTCGTACACCAGCCGGCTGCCCGAGAAGGATGAAGAAGCGTTACTCAAGGTAGCAGCGGTGATCGAGAAGATGGTCGAGAGGGGTGTCTCAGGACTGAGCTCGATGCCGGAAGGCTTGCGTCGTTGGCTTCGAAGTGCAGAGATGCACAAGCCAGACGTGAGACCGCTATCCCGGTTGCAGAATCCAGAGAGTCAAGAACGGTACACCGGGTACTGGAAGCGAATGGTTTGTTACTGTCTACGAGTATGGTGCACTCGTCACGAAGCCACGGACAGCGAGTCAAGTGGCGATGGCAGCAACAATGACGATACCGAAAGCGACAGCGATGAGGTAAACAGTGTGTACAATGCTAACGCCAACACTGATGAGGTAAACAGTGTGTACAATGCTAACACCAACACTGATACCGACGACGACGACGACGACGACGACGACGACGACGACGACGACGACGACAATTCCGACACAGATCCACAACACGATCAAGGCAGACGGCAAGCACAAGATCACATGCACGATGCTCGGAGGCTCTTCCCATGGAACGACCAACTCGAAAGAGCATTAGAGGAGGTGTGGAGATTGATCGTTCTCGAGGGAGACACATCATCCGTAGAAGACGATCAAATCCCAGCGATGGTAGAGCTCAGTCGGGTGTTGTTGTTCAANAAGGTGTGGAACGACCGCTTCGACAGCGCTCTAATCCATTTCATGGCCGTGATGGGCATCGACGAGACCAACGCTCGGCTACGCGATGGCAACGACTACTCTTACATGATCGCCGGACTGGTGTACGTGTCCAGGATCGTGACCGCCGAAGCTCTGCTCCCATCACTCGACCGCGAAAACCAAGGGGAGGCCGACTTCGAGGCATTTCTCGAGCAGAGAAAAGAGTTTCTAGCCGACGGATCGATGAGCGTGATGGGAGAGATGTTGAGCTTGCTAGCGTACGGAAAGAAGATCGCAAAGAACTTCCACGCCCAGGGGGAAGCTGCACTGGACTCACGACGGAGCCGGCGTCGCTCTCGGCAGCATCGAGTTCACGGTGTACAACTTCAAGTCCATGGCACGCTCCGCTCTAGACGATTGCGAAGACTACATGTGGAGGGATCTCATGTGGGCAGGCCGCAAGGCAGATCGCTTCGTGTTAGATCTCGATAGCATCACCGACGACATGACGGTGAAGAAGAGAGGCTGGTACTTCGGTGCCGACCCGAACCAGGATCTCGAAGCACAAGGTCTCGACTGGATGTTGAAGAGGATGCTAGGCTCGAACCAGGGGAAGAAGATGCGCAGAGGTGACCAGTGGCAGTCGAGACTGGTGGCCAACTATCTCCGGAGGGTGGACAAGTTCAGGGAGCTGTTCATATTCTGCGTGCACGTCTTGAGCGGCCAGCCCGCCAGAGGAACCGAGATCACCAGTCTGCGCTTCCGCAACGGAGTGGCCAACCACCGCAACGTCTTCGTCTTGGACGGCAGAGTGATGACGGTGACGAGCTACCACAAGTCACAAGCAATGCTCGACATGCCCAAGATGGTGCCACGCTTCTTGCCGTGGAAACTGGGTCAGATCGCGGTCATCTATCTCACCCACGTGCGGGCGTTCGCCGAGTTGCTGTCGGTGCAGGTACAGTACGGTCAAGGATGGAGTGACTACATCTGGGCGGACTCGCACGGCCCGTGGGAGACGCAGAAGCTCACCGACACGATGAAACGAGAGACGGCCAAACGACTGAAGGCCAAGCTACACACCCAGAACTACAGACACGCCGCCGTCTTTCTAGGCAGGAGATTCGTCGGACCGAGGTTCGCCAAAGGCTACCGAGAGGAGGCCGAAGATCCGGAAGAAGCCCAGGCGGGTGATATGGATGACGATCTCGAGGAGGGCAACGCGATCGAGCTACAGAAAGCCGGCGGCTTCGGCACCGGAGCCGGCAGATACGCGGTCAGAGCGGACATCTTGAAGTATCTCAACCAAGAGTCGATCGACATCTTCGGCGATCTCAGCGAAAGCTGGCACAGGTTTTTCGAGCTCGACCACAGAGATCCGAAGAGGAAAAGAAAGGCCGAGAGCAGCAGCAACAAAGACGATGGGATGCAAACCGTCGACTTTGAAGGATTGCAGAAAGAGAGATTGATCAAGAGACTGCCCGCGGCAAAAGGGAGGAGCTGTTACTGTTGCCGCCACTCCGACGACAGTAGATCTCTCACCGTTCTTACAACAATCCGAAAGGCAGCAGAAGGAGATCGAAGACTTGCGGATGAAGCTCAAGGCACAAGAATTCGAACTGACAAGACTTCGAGGAGAGGAGCTGCAGCAGGGACGACAGCAACCCATGACCCCCATCGTTGGCTTGGGCATCTACTCGAACAACAACAACAACGGAATGCCGACCCCGGTGACAGAGGGAAACAGGCACGACTCACACAACGATGATGCCAACGACAAGAACGACAGCAACGAAGTCATCTACATCGACGATGACGATAATGATGACAACCACCACGACGAATCCAGGTACTCTCCAAGGTGCAGCGGCAGGAACCACCAACAGCATCTGCAGCAGCACGTAGACGACAGTCCGATCATCGAACGAAGCCGAAGAAGGCGCGAGAGGCTGCAACGCTACAGAAGACCGACGGCACAGGAAAAGGAGAGGGCTATACGCAAAGCACTCAAGAAACCAATGGACGACGACGCGGTGACGATCAGATACAGATCGAAAGCACAAGGAGAAGCGCTCGGGAGAATCATGGACGGTGGGTTCAACGTTCTCACCGTCGTTCTGCCGACAGCCGGAGGCAAGACTCTACTCTTCACCGCACCCGCTTGTCTGGAAGAAGACGTCGGGGTGACCATCGTGGTGGTACCGTTCCGCAAGCTCATCGACGAGACGGTGCGAGAAGCACAAAAGACGGTGGGTGACTGTGAAGAATGGAGTCACAGCACCGTCGATCCAGCAGCTCTCGTGGTCGTCAGCGTGGACAAGATGCACGATCACTTCTGGTCGTACGCACGGCAGATGGCGGAGCAGGGCCGACTGAGACGAGTGGTGGTGGACGAGTGCCACTTGCTGGTGACTTCGCACAGCTGGAGACCGCATCTCGTGGAGCTGGAGAAGCTCAAGTCACTAGGAGTACCGATGGTGATGCTGACGGCCACACTCCCAAGGTACATGGAGGTCGAGCTACGACGAAGTCTAGGTATCGGCATCGGAATGATGTCGCTCATACGAGCATGCACGGTGAGGGAGAACATCACTTACACCGTCAGACAGGACATCGGCAAAGGCAAGCTGGTCGAAGAGACGGCCAGAGTGTGCGAAGAGGTCGCCGACGAGCTACGGAGCACCAGGAAAGAGAAGGCCGTCGTCTACTGCCGAAGCAAGAAAGACTGCGAGGAGATGGCGGAAAAGCTAGGCTGCGGTTCTTCTACGCCGGACACGTCGACGGCGGGGAAACGCTAGAGCAGTGGAAGGCGAACGGCGGCTTCATCGTGTCGACGACAGCTCTCAGCACCGGACTCAACTACGAGGCCGTCAAGGCGGTCATCCACTCGGGACTGCCATACGGACTGATCGAGTTCGCCCAAGCATCGGGCAGAGCGGGTCGAGATCCCAACGAGAGAGTGGACTCGATCGTACTGCTGGAGCAAGGGTGGGAGGAAGAAGAGCAAGGGACGCGGGAGCGTTACAACGAGGCACTCGGACCGGACGGAGCAGCGATGATGGAGTACATCAAGACGGAGGGTTGTCGAAGGCTGGTGCTAGGCAAGTACTTCGATGCGGCAGAAACGATCCAGGAGTGTCACGACAGCAGCAGCAGCGGCAGCGACAACAACAACAGCGAGACCGAGAGCGAGACGAACTGTAGTAATGGCGGCAGCCGCCAGCATCACGCCCCCAAAGCTCCGTGCGACAGGTGTGGTGGTGGAATGGTGGCAGCAGGTACAGAGCTGGTCAGGCAGTCCGAGCTGGAAAAGGAGATGGTCGAAGAGGCTCTAGACGAGATGAAGCTCGGCTGTCCGATGTGTTGGATGAAGTCAGAAGAGAAAGACTCACATCTGGAGCACGGTGGCCGGGAGTGCGAGAGTCGAGAGCTGACGGTGACAGACGAGGCCGACGAAACGACAATTGTCGATGTTGACACATTCCGGAAGCAGATCAAATACGCAAAGGCGAGCAAGGCTTGCAGGAAGTGCGGCATCAACCAGAGGATGTGCAACACCAGGGAAGACGCCAAACGAAAATGCCAGTGGCCCGGCATAGCAGTACCGGTGTTGATGACAGCAGTTCGAGATCCGATCGGGAGGAACATCATCCGAAAAGCCGGCTTCGAACCGAATCGAGTGGTGGAAGAGGAGAAGGAGGGGTGGAAGGCTTACGCAGCGTGGTGCGGCCAGGCCAGAGACAGGCGGATATGGGGAGAGATGATGAGCAATTCGATGTGGGTGGTGAAGGAATTTTTGGTTTACAAGAGTGGGGAGAGGATGAGGCAATTCTGATGATGGCGGTGGTGATGAGAGTCAGGAGAAGGAGGACAAGGATGATGATGATACTTCATCATTCGAGGATCTGGACATGGATGAAGACGACTTTATCATGATCGATGCCGGGACCATGGAAGCTACAACAACAACAACAACCGCCACCACGGCTAGAGCGACAGCACCAGCAGCAGCAGCAACAGAAACAGAAGTGGGAGAACGACAAGAGACCCCGGAAGCCCGAGCTACAGCCGTGGAAGAACTGGAACACAGCAGACAGATCCCCCGAGTGTCGAAACGTCCGATGTGCTCGGATATCAGCAGCAGAGAAGGGTTCGAAGCAAAGCTATCGATGTACAGAGGTTGTTGCACGGTTTGCACAGCACGATCGGGCAAGACGGAGCGCAGGCACACGTCATGGAGGACTTGTCCACTGGTCAAGACGTTAGGACTGGTAGAGAAAATGGAAGAGATGGATGGGAAACTGGCCAGGACGAAGATGGAAGGGTCGTCGGGTTGCAACAAATGCTGGAGACCATGCATGCTGTGTGAGCAGTACAAAAGAGACGGCAAAGACATGAGTTTGGCAGAGGGGAGGTACATCAAATGGAAGAAGTTGTGGAACGAAGGGTGGTGTGGACAGAAGGGAGAGATCGGGGGCGATCATCGGGTACGAGAGGAACTGAGATCGGTAGCGTTAGGGTTGTTGTTCAGTTCGAGGGACGAGGTATGGGATTGGATGATGGGTGAGGGCGAGCTGGGAGAGGATGAGAATGGTGATACCGGCACGTTGATAGTGGAATGGTTAAGGAGGAAGAGCAAGGTAGGAATGAGGATAGAGGAAGGATGGATCCAGAGCAGCAAACTGTGTGATCTAATCCGGAATTGGGGCTGAGACAGGCCCTGCAGGTATCTTGAGAGAGAGGAATAATTAAAAGAGAAGAAAAGGTCAAATCTACCCAACCCTGCAGGTATCGCAAGAGAAATGATGATGATAGAAGAAAAGATCAAATGCACCCAACCCTGCAGGTATCGTAAGAGAAATGATGGAAGAAAAGACAAGATGCCCGGCCAACCCGTAGGGTGGTGTCCCAGGGGAGAAAAAAGCAGAAGAAGAAAAGGAAAAGAAAAAACAAAAAGACGAAAAACCCGTGCAACCCGTAAGGTGTCCCAAAGGGAGAGAGAGAGAGAGAGAGAGAGAGAGAGAGAGGGAGAGAGAGAGAGAGAGAGAGAGAGAGAGAGAGAGAGAGAGAGAGAGAGAGAGAGAGGGAGAAAAGGAAAAGAAGAAAGATCAAAACCCGATCAACCCGTAGGGTGGCCCGAAGAAGGAGAGAGAGAGAGGAAAAGTGGAAAGAAAGATGAGAAAACCCGTATAACCCGTATAACCCGTAGGGTGGCCCAAAGAAGGAGAGAGAGAAAAGAGGAAGGAAAGACAGAGAAACCCGACCAACCCGTAGGGTGGCCCGAAGAAGGAGAGAGAGAGAGGAAAAGAGGACAGAAAGATAGATGAGAGAAACCCGACCAACCCGTAGGGTGGCCCAAAGAAGGAGAGAGAGAGAAAAAGTAGGGGTAAGTAGAGGGTGGGCGGTGGGCCCGTGGTATGGAAAAGCCGGCGGAGGCAAGAGTAGAATAGGGTAAGCAGAGATAGAAGACAAGGCAAGATGCGTAGCAGCCGTAGGGTGGCCCGAAGAAGGAGAGAGACGAAAAGGGAAAGAAGAGGTAAAAGATTAAAAGAGAGACCCAACCCAACCCGTAGGGTGTCCCAAAAAGAGAGAACAGTACAAATTAGGACCCCCATTAGGGTAGAGGGTACAAATTAGGACCCCCATTAGGGTAGAGGGTACAAATTAGGACCCCCATTAGGGTAGAGGGTACAAATTAGGACCCCCATTAGGGTAGAGGGTACAAATTAGGACCCCCATTAGGGTAGAGGGTACAAATTAGGACCCCCATTAGGGTAGAGGGTACAAATTAGGACCCCCATTAGGGTAGAGGGTACAAATTAGGACCCCCATTAGGGTAGAGGGTACAAATTAGGACCCCCATTAGGGTAGAGGGTACAAATTAGGACCCCCATTAGGGTAGAGGGTACAAATTAGGACCCCCATTAGGGTAGAGGGTACAAATTAGGACCCCCATTAGGGTAGAGGGTACAAATTAGAAAACCCCAGTCAACCCCAGTCGTTATAGGGTCAACCGCTAGGGTTAGGGTTAGGGTTAGGGTTAGGTTAGGTTAGGGGTTAGGGTTAGGTTAGGTTAGGTTAGGTTAGGTTAGGGTTAGG